GGGGTTCGCATTCATGACTATCTGGCTGAACTACTAAGAAAATTCGCAGAGCTGGGAAGAAAAGATAAACTTAGTCATTTCTACACTCTCAACATGTTCATAAGTATTTGAACTTTTTGTGCACACTATAAATAGGAAAATGAAATATATCGAGCTCATAGATAAACAGCCAGATATCCTACTAACAAGGGGGGCAGAGCTACAAAAATGAGCTGCATTGAGCCTTCTGAGATTCCAGAACTGTCTTTGCAGCCTCTTTGACCACTTGCCCACTTATGTAGTGCTTTCGACACACAGGCATGTATACATCAGCCCCAGCAATCAGTTCAGTTTCTGTCTCCTCCGTCTTCCTTAATGTGAAAAAAGCACGCTTTCCACAGAGCTCACATAGAGCATTTAACTTGGTTATAGAGTCGGCAATTGGAATTATATCAAGCACAGAACCAAAGCTCCTTCTGCCAACAATATTTGAACTCGCCATCAAAGAACATAATCATGAAGAAAACATAACACTACTTAAAAGCAAATGAAAAGATGAAGTTATGCCCAATGATTGAAAAGGAGACATATAACTAATGTTGGGTAAAAAGCAAGCAAAACAGTGCTTCCCTTTGCTAAATGAAATGGCATTAAAGATTTGACATATATGAAGACAAATAGAAATAGTACCTCAAATAGTCACCATCCAAACCAGCAACTATTACAGTTTTGCCATCATGATCAGCTGCTCGGCTGCAGAAATCATAAAGGTCTTCAAAAAATTGCGCTTCGTCAATACCGATCACATCTAGCTGTCACAGCTCAAGAGTCGGAAAAAAAATATTTAACATGTACAACAGAGACAGAAGCCCTAAAACAGTCTGCCAAGAATGGTGCTCTATAAAGTTCTAAGTTGGAAACCCTTATGGCATGCTTCTAAATCTCATAGCATAACATATTATTTGAGATGTAAAAATTTACTAGTTCTCATACACAGCATCAAATTTTGATTATTAAATACCTTATCATAAGCATCAGGACCAAATTTTTGTCTAAATGATGATAAATCTGCCAACGGCCAACATGGCAACTTCTCTCCATCATGTGTCACGATGGAATCCAACCCATATCTTGTGTCTTTGTTTGATTTTATTATTGCTACACTTCTGCACAACATACAAGCACAAAGAACAAAGAAAATTGTAAGATGTCATGAATCATTTCCTCTATCATGCAAAGACCATTTCTTTCAACATTTCTTCACTTCCTATTAATACGAGGAAAAAAAATAAAAGAATAGTAGGTACCCAAAATTGGCATTAAGTGTTGGCTAATTGAATTTGATAAAAGAATTCAAGTAAATGAAATATACATCTTGTTTGGGCCCTATAGAATCTGTAATCTGATTCCAATCCCATTTGGGATCTTCAAGCAACAAGCAAAACAAGAAAAAAAAAATATTAGAGCATTATGGAGAACTGGAACACTCACCCCCGGGAACAAAGGTGAACATAAAAGAGGAAACTCCCCAAGTAAAAAAATAATTACTCTAAATATATCTTTCCTGCCTAAAAATTTAGCTCTGGTAAACAGCAAATTCAGGTCTAATGTCAGTAATTTCTTAAGAAGCTTCAACCGTCCAACCTTCCATGCTTTCGGATTTCATGGTTTACTGAAGGATTAAGATGGTTGTAAAACTTAAATGTTAGGGCAAAAACTCATGAATTTGGCCAAGAGGCAAAGAGAAACTTAAACTCCTTTTTTTTGCACACTACAACTCCTGATGGAATTAAAAGAATTTAAATTTGGAGGAGAAGTGATTGACTAAGATTTCAGAGGGGGAGGACTGTTCAAAAAAGAGATGGCGAGCGAGAAACAGAGAAGGGAAATCAAAGTGGCATTACTGCACTTAGAAGTGATCAGTGCATATAGAAATTTACATCTATAGAAAACTTTGTGTTGATGCATTTAAAATTTTATGGTCTATCCTTACCATTTTGTCTTTTGTTAATTACATTTTCTACAACACATACGCCTATCCAAGAAGGGGGCCTCTAAGCTTACACCCACCACGGCAACTGCAAGACAACCTAAATTTTGGAGTTGTGGATGTTATAACAAGCTCACTTCACCTGGTTTCCCCAGTCAACATGGGCAAACATTTTTATTTTGATATGTTTTCACTACACACACACCCCTCTTCCAGAAGGGGCCCTAAAGGGTCAAATACCATATCAATAACAAAAGGATCTTACTTTAGGAGTCCCTAGTCCTTACCATTCTCCTAGGGTACAAAAATGTTTGACCAAACAGGGGATCTCAGAAAAAAACAAAACAAAGATCTTCCAGTGGTGAATTCAATTCCCATAGCAGCAGTATCTGAAGAAGGTCAAATTTCAACTCACGGAAGCTGTGTTGCTTAAGGAAGATACACTGTTGGAAAATTGAGCGATTTCTGGAAAAAGAGTGCTAATTTCCTCCCCAAAGCACATTCCTTGAGTACTTATTGCAATGTGATGAAAATATTGACACGAACTGAATTTGGATGTGGAGAATACAAACTGACCAATTTACCAGCACCATCTCCCCCAAAATTGAAATTCTATGTAAAGGTCATCCAGTGCCAAACAATCCATTGGTATACCAACTGTGAATCAAACATGACAAGTAGGTAAACAATTTTTTCCCCACTTCACATCTTTTCTCCTTTTTTCTCTCAGGATGATCTCCTAATCAAAAGTTATTTTGAGCGCAAAACCATCCATATTCTCAAGAAAAAATTCTAGGTAGCATCCTTCCTCATAAGAATTGGAAAGAAACATGCACGCATTAGTCACCATGCAGTGATTGCCATTTTCTCACAACTAAATGCTTAAATTAGGAACATAGCCAGCATCCTTTAGAATGCAAGTCATATCTTTAATCAACTCAAATATCTGCTTAGTTTGTTTGTGAGCATTATGTTCCATAAAAAAGAAGTGGACTTCCCTTTGGACCTCAATCATACTATAACCAGGCTCCTTTTTCATCCCCATATCTTTCATCGCAATCCTAATCTCTGCAACATTGTCCCATAAACCAAAAGTGGCATAAGCATTGGATAAAACCACATACTTCCCTGAATTCTCTGGCTCCAACTCAAAAAAGGTTTTAGCAGAAACCTTCAACATGTCCATGTCCCCATGAATCCTACAAGCCCCAAGTAGAGCACCCCATATTACTGGGTGTTCCTTAAAAGGTGAGTTTCTGACAAACTCATAAGCTTCTTCTAATCTTCCAGCGCGACCTAAAAGATCAACCATTGCTGCATAATGTTGGCATCTTGGCTGAATACTATAATCTCTCGTCATAGATGAGAAATATTCCCAACCCTTGTTCACCAAACCTCCATGGCTACATGCAGAAAGAACAGCAAGAAAAGTAACAAAATTTGGTCTAAAACCTTCATTTACCATCCTATGAAAAGATTCCAAAACCTCAACTACTCTTCCATGCTGGCCATATCCAGAAATCAATGCAGTCCATGTTATAACATTCCTATCCAAACACTTATCAAATACTAAATGCCCATCACAAGGACTGCTACATTTGAAATACATATCCATAAGGGCACTATTAACTACAACATTATTACCTATTTGGCTCTTAATCAAAATACCATGGGCTCGCTTGCCCTGTTCCAGTATTGCTAAAGTGGCAAAGGCCCTAAAGACTGATGCAAAGGTGTATTGATCTGGTATCAGCCCACACTGTCTCATCTTGTGGTAAAGATTGAAGCCCACTTCTTGAAGACCCTTCTGCACATAACCTGCAATCATTGCATTCCATGAAACCAAGCTTTTTACAAGCAGTTTATCAAAAATAACATGGGCAGTGACAAGATCCCCTGCTTTTGCATACAAAATCAACAACTTGATCTTCAGATATTCATTGGGAACGAATCTAACCATAACCATTTGTGAATGGATTCTTCTCCCATTCTTGTACTCTTTCCTGGAAATACATTCTTGCAAAAGAAGAGAATAGGTTTGTGAGCCCACTTGCAGTCCTGTGCGGCACAATATCCCAACCGCTTCTGCTAGTCTTCCCGAGCAACAGAGACCCTTCAATGTTCCATCCAAATAGAGGACGTCCTTGGCCTGAAATCTGGCAATAACTCACCAGTGACAATTGCATTCGACCATCGGACAGAAACATAGGGAAAACTTACTCCATTGAAACAAAATAGCTGAGAAGGCATTCAAACTTATGAACCAAAGGAGATAGAAGGCGAAAGGACATCCAAAAATAAAGATCAATTTGTTACATGGTATACCATAGATCAGTAAGGATGATCAGCCGAGTGCAAGCCTTGTCAGACATGAAAACTCAAAAAAAACTTGTCACTAACTAAAACTACCCAAAAAAAAACACCATATTCACCTAAATGATTCATCTACACGATTGCTTTAGAATTTTCCCAAGAGTCCAACAGAACTACTAACATTCATTAAGGATTACTAGGAAATAACCAAAAAAATAATTTGTCATACAAACCACTTTTTTGTGAAAGAATACAGATTTTGCCCCTATCCAACATGGCATATTCACTTGCTCATGAATCACAATGGATTTAATCCAAATTTTGCATCCTCAATTGGTTCTATCAATGAGATGCTTCTACATAGTATGGATGGGAAAACATTATGCCACAAGGCAGAGTACTCCAACTTCCCATTACAATCCAAATACCATTCGTTTGCAGAAATAGAGTTTGGGTCCTCGCACAAAAAATATTACTTTTTCCCTTGCATCATACTAGCATTTAAACCTAAACCAAAGCATAAAAATGAAAACAAAATTAGAGGAAGCTCCGAACCTGCCATTACTGCTTTCAGACTTGATTCTTCGTAATAAAGTGGTAGTTTTGCCGGCAAACATGGGTCCCACGATCACGTGAATCTCACCGGAAGCCGGCTGAGATGCCTCTGTTCCCAAGTTACGAGCTGCTTTGTTGGGGCTTGAAGGTATTGAGGAATTGAAAGAAGACACAATGGGTTTTACTATATGGAAAATTTTAGGGTTTTGGAAAGTATTGAAATGGAAGTTGCAGATGGTGGATTGAGACACGGATAGAAAATATAGCGAGAAAGGAGTGGTGGATGTGGAAAAATTTGGAGCAAAGGTTGAGAGAGTTGGGTTTGTGAGAGACTTCATTCTTGATATAATTAACATGTATTTCTGCAGGATTTTTGGTTTCTGTTCAAAAGGGTTGGGAAACACTAAATAGACAGGGGAGACTACAACAGAGGTTTGGCTTCGAGGGAAAATATATATCCAGTTGGGGAGGGGAGAGAGACTGAGAGAGAGAACGGTGGCTGTTATTAGGTGTTGCGTTTGGAGGGAAAGTTAAAAGCTAATGAGCAGAGATAGAAGACGAGCCCCTGGCTGGAGGTTTTGTCTTTTTGGATAAGTTACGTCCAGATCCCGGAGGTTTATCGTTTAATCAAACAGCCCTCTCTCGTTTGATATATTACATTTAAACCTCTTAAGGTATGCATATATGTAACACATAAATATGTTGTCGTTGATATCCATCTGATATGCTGTTAAAATGTGATGACAGTATCATATTTTTGATACAAAATTCTCACCTTATCCTTTTATTATTTCAAATGAACTCCCAACCAGCCCACCTCAACCCTAATTCCCCACCAAGATTCAAAAAAGCTTAAATGGTTGGATGGTGTAGTATGAAATGAGATAGAGAGAGAAAAAAAAAAAAGATGCAATGAGTGGCAGTGGTGGTAGAAACAAAAAGAGGAGCACAAACGGTGGATTAGTGGCGGGGATAATGGTCGATTGTGTGTGTTGTTGTGTGGGATATAGAGAGGCAAAGGGCGAGAGAAAGAGAGGCTGGTGATGATAATTATGGAGAGAAAAGACAGAGAGCAGCTTAGGAATTAGGGATTGTATAGAGTGAAAGGACTCGAGTGTCTATTTGGGTTTGGGCATGAGTTTGTTAGGATATCCAATTTTAAATTAGATTCATTATAACTGATTTTTTTATGGGTAAAATGGTCGTTGTATCTATATTGTTAGGTCTGTTATTGCACCGATATTTATAGGGGTCTTGGTGTAATTATTTTAAACATTAAGTGGATACATTTGATTAAATAACAATTCTAAGGAGATCTGGACATAAATTTACCTTTTTTCCCCCCTAATCCCCTTAAAGGAAAATTTTCTCCTAAACACATAATGGGTCGATCCATGACCGTGGGTGGTGGGTCATGGGTGTTGTATTAGTGTGTGTATATTATAGTGTGTTTGTGTATATATATGTATTTTTTGATATATTAATATATTTATTTAATTTTATTACTTGTGTTATTTAATAAAAAGATAAATACTCAACTCAATGGATTCCCATTTATAATTCATATTGTCTAATTCATTTATGACTCATATTAATTAATATAGGTACTCAACCCATTTATTTATGGACTGGTTGAACAAATTAATGGGTAATAGATTAAGATTACCACATCTAAGTAAAACGGTCATTGTGTCTATTTCGTTAGGTTTGTTATTGCACCGTTATTTATAGGGGTTTCAATGTAATTTTTTCAAAACATTAAGGGAATATATTTGATTAAGTAACAGATCTAAGGAGATCTAGATGTAATTTACCTTTTCCCCCCTAATCCCCCTTAAAGGAAAATTTTTCTCAAATGCTATCTAGACCTAAATTGAAGATTTAATTTGAAGATATAATGTATTGAATTCATTTGATTACGTTGATTCTTACTTGAGCCAATGATGGGGGTTGGATCTATACGAATTCACCTTTCCCAATACCACTTGATATATAATTTATCTAGGATGGAAATGCAGGCAAGTCAATAGGCAGAAAATCAAAAAAGAAATTTAAAAAAAAAATAGTGTAATCAGCCCTAGACCTAAAGTTGAACTAAAAAGAATTGTTGAGTGAGTTTGTGTGTGAGCTTCAATCATTTATGTAAAGTCAAACACAATAATTGCTAGGAGCTGCTAGACAAAACCATGGAAACAAACACAATCCAAATTAGTCTTCAAAGTAACTGCTAACGTTTCACTATTCTCTGTTAAATAATTAACACCATCAAACATATACCAATTTCTATAATTTTGAACACAAACTTGGAGTATGTGCAATCAATTCTAAATTCAATGAACAGTAATTCTTAAAGGGATTAGCCATGTGATTTATGCTTAGTCACCTTTTTTTTTTTGTTCAATGATCAGGAGTGTTTGAGTCAATTTATACACACTTCGATAAATTCTCTCTCCGATTCAATTTAAAGTAGGTTATCACGTCGAAATTAAAGTATTTATAAACTCAAAGAATTACAAAAATTCAAATTTAAGAGTCCTGAATTTATAATTCGTCTTTATTATTATTTAAATTACCAAATTATGCTTAGCTACTTTTGTAGGTGTTTGATCGGGGGAATATGACCTTTATTAAGGCATCCAACAAGACCACGCCTAAAAAAGTTGACTTGTGATGTGGGAATTGGTCGACAGAAGTGACGATTAGAATGACTTAGAAATTGCTATTTTTAAATTCTCAAAAACTTCGAAGGCTTTGGTCATAAAACCCATATGTTTTTAAATTCTCAAAAACCTCAGAGGCTTTGGTCATAAAACCCATTTCTCTATTACGTCATTCATGTGCACCAAATGTAGATGCATGTATGTATGTATATATATATATATATGCTTGATGGGTCTACCTGTTCTACTCTAAAGGTGAGTGGGTACACAGCCAATCCCTTCTGTCCTTGGTAAATCTCCCACTTTATTTTACTTTTATATTCAAAATTTTCGATATGGTATCCTTGATTATCATTTATCATATGTAAAATTATAATTTTAAAAGAAAAAATTATAACTGTTAAAAAAAAAATTATGATGGATGACAGATATTAATTTTCGATCATAAAAATCTCAGTATCGATTCTAACTTTCTATGATCGATCATTTATTTTAAAATTATAACTTACACCACAAAAAAATTATAACTTAATTTTAAAAAGTTATAATTTTGGAACATTCTTTTCCAAAAGTTTATATTCAAATTAGACCTTTGCAGCTACTGTTTCTTTGCAGTTTTACCCTTAATACTAGTAAAAATTTAGTAAATGCAACTGTCCATGTAATCCATCATCTACACTTCATTCCTTGCCTCTTCATGAAGCGAACATGTTGTGGGAATGTGAATAGAAAATTTAGCAAGACAGCCAATTAGCATATATTATTTGCAAAATTAGCCTTTTTTTTTTGTTAGAAACTTCACTTAAAATGAACTATCAAGTATTGACATTGTCCTTTTTAAGCGCTTTTTGATAAAGTATAATTCTTATTCATGTATGTTGATGAATGGTACAATATGTTCAAATGAGCAACTATTAATACATGGTGAACTATCTAACATCGAGAAAAATTAAATGGAGGGATTCAAATTCCCACATTTCTTTTCCTCTTTAGACTAAAATACATTAATATTATTCTTAGTTAAACACGTCCTAATTTAATTTGATAATCTCGATAAATCATCACTAGATGTTTTTCTAGGAAGATTTGGGACTGTCCATTCAAAGAAGAGGTGGTTGAAGGAAACAGAGATTGAACTGTGTGTGACTTGTGAGTTGTTAAGACTTGAGATTGGCCAATGAATGCACTGAAGGGTTACATCTTATAAAAAGAGTGTGCAAAAAGCTTGAGGAAGAGGGAGGGGAGGGGTACATGTAAATGGTAAATACAAATTACAAAAGGAAAGTTTCACCAAAAATGAAAAAAGAAAGGTGACATTTTCATTCCAAATTTAAAATTAAAAACTCAAGTCACCATCTTCCATCGTCTCCGCTTCTACATTTCTTACCCGAGAGGATAGCCAAAGAGCTCTCTCTCTCTCTCTCTCCATTTATATTATATAATATACATCTACTATCATCCATTGAGATGTAAATTCCATCTCCTCATACCACACTTCTTTCTCTATTCCTTTGATTCACACTCATTATATATTTGCCAATTGAACCTACAGTGAATTTGGAGAACAAACAAAAAAAGGGAGAGGAAAAGAGAGGGCCTTTAGCCCTCTGCTCTTGATATTCTTCCTCTCAGATCTTGAATTCTATTCATTTCTCATCTGGGTCTTGCTCAATTGGTAATTTGCGGCTAACATTTTCCAAAAAAGTTGATCTTTTTGTGAATTCTAAGTGCTACTTCAATTTTCTTCGTGATTTCCGGGAATCTGGATTGTGAGTTGATCGGTTTTCGATCTGTAAATGATCTGATGTTCACCAATTGAATCAAAGATTACCCATTTCCAATCTAATTATAAGAAACTTCAGGTTTCTGATAAATATTTTGAGAAGGTATGGTATTTCTTGTTTATTCTGCATTATGATGTTATATATCTAATGCTAATTGTCAATAAAATAGTAGATTGTATATTAATAGGATTGTAGCACAACTGTAAACTGGGTCATGCTTGGATATCTTTTCATCTAATTTTTCCATTTGATTGATTAGATCTATGGAAAGTTTCTTACTTGTTCAGTAATTGGTTTGATTAATATAGATTAGGAATTATTTTGTCTTTGCAAAATGAATTATTAGATAATAGTTGGCTTTGACTTTGATTGATGGAAAATCTTAGTGATAGGATTATTTGGAATGTGCTTGTCCAGAATGGAAATTGAGCTTGGCAAGTTGTTCATTGGTGGAATATCTTGGGACACCAATGAAGACCGTTTAAAAGAGTATTTCCAACATTTTGGTGAAGTAGTGGAAGCTGTGATAATGAAAGATCGGGCTACAGGCCGTGCCCGTGGTTTTGGTTTCATTGTTTTTGCTGACCCTGCTGTTGCAGAGAGAGTTGTTAAGGAGAAGCACATGATAGATGGTAGAACTGTAAGTTCCACGTTTCAAATGTATATTCTCTGTTGCATTGTGATATTCTGATCAAATTCACCATGGTAAACAAATTGGACACTACATATAGAAATTTTGTCCGCCAAACTTATTTTTTTTTGCTTGAACTGTGAGGTGTATCAGATGATGAATCAGTTTGTCAGATAATAATTTGAGTTCAATCAGTTTGTCAGATAATAATTTGAGTTCTCCAAATAATTTATAGTCTACAGAATTATGTCATCTGCATTGTCGTTTTAAGCTCATTGATTGTAGATGGGTTGATGGTAAGATTTGATTAGTTACATGCTTTTATTGAATAATGACATGCAAACAATAGATTGGAAAATGGAACGCATCTGCACCCTTGTTGTATTATGCACTTACTAAAGCAGTCTAGAGTGCCATCTGGAACGGCTGACAATTAATAAAGATGATTAGTGCAATACAAAGTGCCATAAATGGATAGTGTCCAAGAAGGGAAGGTTTCTATGTCTTAATTATTAGGTTTCATAGGGAAGTCTAATTTGGAAGAAAATCTTAGGAATTAGTGAAAATGCCGCTGAAGACGACTCTAAGCAGGATGGTGTTGATGCTGTAAACATTTTTTTCCAATAGCTGGAGATTGATAAGTAAGAGAGAGAAGCATAAGATACGAAAACAGAACTTACAGTGGAAGAATAATTAATGCAGCCTTTACCGTCTTCTTTATAATTCAGTATTTTATAGGTGGCAAAAGATGACACATTCTTGCAGATATGCCTTAATCTAATGAATCATGCTTATCAACCATACATTAAGTAGTACGGCAGATATGATGTGAATCTTATGACAGAGGAAGGAATTCTCATGAATTCCCTTGATTCTACATTGTGACTACGGACTAGTAATCACCTTTCTAATCATGCAGTTGTAAGTAATGGTTTCTCCATGAATCTTAGAAGTACAAAAAATAGTAGATGACTGTCTTGTCAGATTGTTGCAATTTTCTTCTCGAAGATTCCCTTATCTACATTAAGAATAAAATTGAACTTTTAGTTTGTTGTCACTTGTATTTTGTGTTAGAGATGAAATAGGTTTGAAATTGACTGAATTTCTGTTTCGTTGTATCCCTTTTCTTGCACAGGTTGAGGCAAAGAAGGCTGTTCCTAGGGACGATCAACATATTATGAACAGAAACAATGGCAGCATCCAGGGGTCACCAGGTCCAGCTCGAACAAAGAAGATATTTGTAGGAGGTTTAGCATCCACAGTCACAGAGAGTGATTTTAAGCAATACTTTGATCAATTTGGGACAATCACAGATGTTGTGGTGATGTATGACCACAACACCCAAAGGCCCAGAGGTTTTGGATTCATCACTTATGATTCAGAGGAAGCAGTAGATAAAGTTCTGCTCAAAACCTTTCATGAACTCAATGGGAAAATGGTTGAGGTCAAGCGAGCTGTTCCCAAGGAGTTATCTCCAGGGCCTACTCGTAGCCAGTTGAGTGGATATAACTATAGTCCAAACAGGGGAAGTAGTTTCCTCAATGCCTACACTCAGGGTTATAATCCAAGCTCATTTGGAGGCTATGGAATAAGAATGGATGGTAGATATAGCCCAGTTACAGTTGGTCGGAATGGATATCCACCATTTAGTCCTTCCAGTTATGGTGGGGGACTGAATTTTGAGCCAGGGTTGAGTTCAAACTATGGGGGTGGTGGAAACTTTAGTTCTAATGTTGGATATGGCCGTGGATTGAACCCTTTTTATAGTGGGAGTTCAAATAGGAATGGCAGTCCCATGGGGTATGGCGGGGGTACTGGTTCTGTTTCAAGTTCAACAATTCGGAATATGTGGGGGAATGGGAATTTGAACTATTCTACTAACTCTGTAAACTCTAGTGATTTCAGGGGCTCTGGAACTGGGAGTACTGGATCAGTTGGACCTTTTGGCAATATTGGAGCAATTTGGGGTTCCTCTCCTATCTCAGGTCAAGGTGGAGGGGCTGGTTCTGCCTTTAGACGCAGCAATGTCAGCTATGGGAGTGCTGAAAACAGTTTTGGGTCGGGCGGGGGAGGCTATGGAAGAAACATTGTAAGCAGCATGGCTCCAACGTCATCATATGCTGCAACGACTGATATTAATGATGGGATTTTTGGAAACTTCTATGGTGATGGCTCATTTTATGGGGACCCCACTTGGCGTTCATCATCTCCAGAGCTAGAGGACTCTAGCTCTTTTGCTTATGGGCTTGGGAATGCAGCTTTAGATGGTACGCCAAAAAATTCTGCTGGTTATGTTGGTAATTTTACTGTTACCAATAGATCAAATAGAGGTAAATGTTTCTTCTTTTCTTCTTCGTTTGAATTGTATATTTTCTTTTTTTGAATTTTCTGACTTACATTTCAATATCATATTTTATTTTTAGCATTTTCAATGTTTTTTGCAAATAGTAGTCAGACATAGTTTGACTCCATGAACCTATGGCATCTTACATGCATCGTGTTAGATTGCTCATGTCTCTGGGTTTCTTACGCTAACAAAATACTCAAGAGTCATGGTTTCTTAAGACCATCTGACCTGTTTATATCAAGATCAATATTGCATGACCATAGAATGCTTTCCATTTGATTACAGTGTGGGAGACATTTCCTTGGGATATCGACCAGTTAAACATCAGTCTTTTTGTTGAGTTGTGTGTTTTATTCAGTGATTTCTTCCATCCTAGTACAAAAACTTAGATTCAGTGCATTTGCCACCCCTGAATTTGTTAGGTTCAACATGCACTTTAGTTGGGCATTTGATTTCCAGTTTGACTCGACATGACATATCAATTTCATCTCCGTTAACCAAAAAATAATGGTGAAAAGAAAATGAATTGGGAAAGTAATAGATGATTAAAAGCATGTCTTGGATATTGTATGATGCATACTATACTTGACTTACTTCAACAAAAGCCTTACACCAGTTATACGATTTGCCTATCGCAAAACAGCCCTATCATTGGCCACATCTACCTTTGAACCACCTGCTATACTGTTGTTAAACTCCTCATGGTTAGTTATTATTTGGAAATTTATATTTTCTCATTGATAAGTATGTACATTTCACATGGGAGGTGAAGTCATCTGGTACATAGATGATTGTATGAATGAACACTTGGATCTAGCTACATTTAGTTTATTCATTGATTTTGATGTCTCCATGCAATTTCTTCCTCGCATACTTTGAAAATTTATTATTGTATCAAAGAGCCACGTCTCAGCCATACTTAACATACTTGAAACACAAATATTAGGTATTTTAAGTACGTGTGACTATCTTTGCAGATAGATACGTCCTACCATAGAGCCATTCTGTTTGAGATAGAACGAAATAATCTAACTTTGCAACTGTATTGGCCAAAGGTCTCTGGAAAATTATTGAAGAGGGTAAAAGGATGTAGTTTTCTAGTTTTTATGTTGAAAGGGTGAGTGAACAGAAAATGGAATTAGTGTCAAGCATCCACACTAATATGTTTCCCACACCCTGTACTGTCTTTTAATGTTCCAGTTGCTTTAATATTTGACTAGGCAGATTACAATTTTGATGCAAATCTCCTTTGGTCCTTATGTTCTCTTCGTTATTGTTTTCTTCAGGAATTGCTGCGTAGGAAGATTACTCTACGGCTATAACAAGGTTATTGTAGGCAAAATTTATCGGGTGAGTCAACTTGGAGTCTGTGAATTACTCATATCCACTCGGCAAGATACTTCAGTTTAGAAGTACATTTCACTAGAGCTAATTGGAGCACTTGTTTCATAGAACTCATCAAAGAGCAGTTACAAAGGATTTCTTGTAAGGTTTGAGCTTGAGTTTTTCAGCATAGGTTTTCTTTCTTTGAATTTGATTGAGATGTAAATCGGATTGCGGGATATACTTGGGTACTATTGTATCATGCATCTCTGGTGACATCATGATACATAAAAAGCGGAGAACTTTTTCCCCTATTATTCTGCTTTAATGACCAGCAAAGCTACTGGTTCTTGTCAGTTATGTTGTTTTATATTTCTTTCCCTTCCTGGGATTTGTTATTGACAGGTTGTATGAAATGTTTGTCAATTGATTAGAGTGAGAACTCTAAGTGGATGCTCTGCTGAGGTTGCAAAAACAAGTTACTGAATATTGATTGTTTTTTCATGAGAAATTCTATTTCCTGCTAGTTTTTCCTTTATTTTTGGAAGATTCTTTAATCCAACTTTTCTGTTACCATTTACTGCAGACTTTGAAGCTTCATACATTTTTGTCATCTAACTGTAGCCTCAAGCTTTTCTTTCAGATTCAATCAATTTGGATGTTTTTAAACTTCGATTGACTGAAGCATTGGTTGAGTCTGTTGTTATACCTCTCATGGGTAGTATTAGCTTGAGTTTAAAATTGTATAAATTGTAGAGTTCAGGATTTATCCAGTTGTTGATTCCCACTTCAGAATTTTTTGGATCACGTCAACTCAATATCATGATGAGGTATATGATGTACTAACGACTGATTTAAGAGTAGAATTTCCGTGAGGTGCTAATGGGGTGGATACAAGGCCGTTATCTTATTGCTCAACCCCGCTTAATCCTTTACACAGGTTCAGGTAGTTCATCTGAAGTGAAGAGAGATTCTATAAAGAAAGTCCCACGCAATAATCTTCAAGTCCTTAGTCTTCTATTCCCAGGTTCATGGCAGCTTCAAATCCATGGATACATGCTTGATTTCTCGTGGCGTGGTGATAACCGCGTTTGCCGTTAGAGTCAACAGTTGTTCTCTCTACCTTGGCAACACCCTGCTCGTAATAAATAACATATTGCTTCTAGTGGAAATATTTGAAGTGAGTCATGGGGTAGAATGTGACCGGAAGAAACTTTTTAAGCTTGAAAGTCCTAAATGAAGTACTAAAAATTAGGAAAATGGAAAGAGAAGGCTTCCAAGTCCTCTTCTCCATGTTCTGTTTGTGATATACAGGCACATACATACATACATACATAGAGATATAGGTATGGCTGTCTGGGGATAGATAGGAAGATAAGTATTTAAACTCCTGAATGTGTGGTCACCTGGACACTTATCCAGAGTTTCATAGCAGACAGATTTCATATCATTTTCACTGTTGTCAAACACAAGGAATAACTTGGGTTGTACAATCTTTGTCTTAGTAAGTAAAAATTATATTGTCTTTCTGTTGATTGGGAGATTTATATGTGTCATTAATTGTAAGCATCTCATTTTGCTTGAAACCTAACTCTAGTATGTTTTAAACCATTTGGCATGATTGAGTCGTGTGTTGTGTAGGGTAGGGTGATTTTGAAATCATGTAAAAAATTAGTCACTCATAATCCAATCTGTTCGACTAATTTTGTCTAATGACTTGATATGAACCCACCATGTTTATTAATGGTAGTATCATAATATTCCCTACTTTTTAAACCAAGTCTATCAACCATTGACTCCTGTTACACTAAAAGTCCACTTAGTCCAATCCAAATGCAAACAAAATCAAGTAAAAATTACTTTCAATTTACAAGGATCCACATAGTGCTATATGAAGAAATTAGCAATAATTCGTGCATGGAGTCACTCTATAATACTGAAAATTGAGTGTTGATCGTTCTGTATTTATATTTTAAATAATAATTTATTTTTTCTTCAATTAAGAGATTTAAAATTAAAATAATTAGAGAGAAAATAGGAGAGATATAGGTGTGAATTAGTAGAGTATTTGACATTGGGATGAATTTTGTATCATTAAATTAAAATAGATAAAAAAAATAAACCAATGTCAACAATTATAAGTAAAGAACAAGATTGTTAAGTCCATATTTGGGACTAAGAGGCCATCGGTTTATGATTGCCAAGATAGACAATAGCCCAGCCCAGACCCAACATTTCATCCCAATTTATTTCAAGGCCCAGCCCACCTAGTGAAAATTTTCACACCAAGGCTGCCGCCGACCCACTCATTCCTTCCGGTTCCCTTCCTCAACAGCAAACAAGGGAAGGAGGCAATGCAGTGGATTGAAAAGGGTGAAAAGTGAAAGGTAAAAAAAAGTAGACGTAAAAAACGGAAAAATACTATCACAATCGCCTTGAAAGTCATTTACATTTTCTAATCCAGTTCCTTCCTCCTGTAGCCAGAAAAACAGAAAAATATTTTTTTAAATCACTGATTCAACTGAAACAATGCATTAAATTACATCGGGGATGAAGAAATGTGAAAAATTTTAGTAGTCACATGTTCCGGCTAGGGAGAACTAGAAGGACAAAAAATGGAGAAAGTTTGTTGCAGCTACCTTTAAGATGAACAACACCAACCCCTTTTGCCTTGCCCATCTCCCTGGTTCGCATCAGCCTGTAAAACTACTGTCTTCCCGTCACCCATCCAACCAGGGTCCTTTTGCTTGAGCTCCTGGGATTGAATAACTTTTCGGCTCAAAATGCTGTAGATCTCTTTAACAACAGTCTGGAAGGCACCAGCTACATTGGAGGAATCAAGAGCTGATGTTTCCATGAAAAACAAACCCTGTGCCTCAGCCAAGGCCTTGCCTTCAGCTGTTGTAACCTCTCGGGCATCTTTGAGATCAGACTTGTTGCCAACAAGAATTGTAACTACGTTCATGTCGGAGTGAGCTGTTCAACAAGTTAACCACCGAAATCAAGCATTGGTACCTCAAGGCTCAAGCTAGAGAATAAGAGAATCATTTAGGACCAGCAAGGTATACAAACAACACATTACCATAACACATCTACATACATACATTAGGTGTGTGTGTGTGTGTGTGTGTGTGTGAGTGTGACAATAATTACTCTGAAGAATTACACATGGCATCATCTTATTTCTTGGTATGACATTTCCTACTCCTGATTCAAAATGTAGGAGATGCAATTGTTGATCACATCCAGTAAAAGTCAGGTTGACCAATTTCCTAATATATATGAACAGCAATCCTCACACACAAAAGCACAACGAAAAGAACCAAACATTAATTGTTCATGCTGCTTACTGTGAAGTTCATTGAGCCATCGGCCAACGCTGTCAAAAGTCTGGCGTCTACTGATGTCGTAGACTAGAAGAGCTCCAACTGCACCTCTGTAATATGCAGATGTAACAGCCCTGAATCGCTCCTGACCAGCTGTATCCCAGATCTGTGCCTTAATTTCCTTCCCATTAATTCCAATCTTCTGGGTCTGGAACTCTACTCCTATCGTGGATTTCGAATTAGGGTAAAACTCGTCTCTGGCAAATCTAGCAAGCAAATTTGATTTCCCAACAGCTGAATCACCAATCAAAACAATCTTGAAAAGGTAATCCCCAGTTTGTTCCTCCGCAGAGTAAAATGCCATCTTCAACCTTTGTACAATGCCACACGCTATAAAACCATACTCACTAACATATTGTAGAGATAAACTTGGGTCCTTTGTTAAAGCACAATTTCGAAGAGAATTTCAGACAAATAATAAGGAACAAACTTTGAGAACGTTAAAACAAAGGCAGTGCTAAAAGAAAACTAGAAAGGAGCTGCAGTCCAGCAATTAGTTGGATGCAGCAAGAAAGGAATCTGATGTTTAAAGTCAAAGATGGATTGATCTACTAGAAATTGGTAACTTCCCCTATACCACTTTGAATTGCATGTTCCTTACTCGACCATGAACATAAACTTCATTTACTTGAACCACCACTACAGCTGGAGCTTTCCCTATGCCAAATTTCAATCTGGACCTCAAGAAAAAGCAACAGCTTTATGATACCTGCAATGTCAAGAAAGCATCAGAATCTAAAAACTTGTCACCAAGGAATGTTTGTGTCTGTGGGTGCTTGGTGAAGGTATCTTCTACATGCTTCATTTAATAAAATAAAAGGTTATTCTTGTAGAATATAATGCTTATGGTTCCATCTGCTANACATGGCATCATCTTATTTCTTGGTATGACATTTCCTACTCCTGATTCAAAATGTAGGAGATGCAATTGTTGATCACATCCAGTAAAAGTCAGGTTGACCAATTTCCTAATATATATGAACAGCAATCCTCACACACAAAAGCACAACGAAAAGAACCAAACATTAATTGTTCATGCTGCTTACTGTGAAGTTCATTGAGCCATCGGCCAACGCTGTCAAAAGTCTGGCGTCTACTGATGTCGTAGACTAGAAGAGCTCCAACTGCACCTCTGTAATATGCAGATGTAACAGCCCTGAATCGCTCCTGACCAGCTGTATCCCAGATCTGTGCCTTAATTTCCTTCCCATTAATTCCAATCTTCTGGGTCTGGAACTCTACTCCTATCGTGGATTTCGAATTAGGGTAAAACTCGTCTCTGGCAAATCTAGCAAGCAAATTTGATTTCCCAACAGCTGAATCACCAATCAAAACAATCTTGAAAAGGTAATCCCCAGTTTGTTCCTCCGCAGAGTAAAATGCCATCTTCAACCTTTGTACAATGCCACACGCTATAAAACCATACTCACTAACATATTGTAGAGATAAACTTGGGTCCTTTGTTAAAGCACAATTTCGAAGAGAATTTCAGACAAATAATAAGGAACAAACTTTGAGAACGTTAAAACAAAGGCAGTGCTAAAAGAAAACTAGAAAGGAGCTGCAGTCCAGCAATTAGTTGGATGCAGCAAGAAAGGAATCTGATGTTTAAAGTCAAAGATGGATTGATCTACTAGAAATTGGTAACTTCCCCTATACCACTTTGAATTGCATGTTCCTTACTCGACCATGAACATAAACTTCATTTACTTGAACCACCACTACAGCTGGAGCTTTCCCTATGCCAAATTTCAATCTGGACCTCAAGAAAAAGCAACAGCTTTATGATACCTGCAATGTCAAGAAAGCATCAGAATCTAAAAACTTGTCACCAAGGAATGTTTGTGTCTGTGGGTGCTTGGTGAAGGTATCTTCTACATGCTTCATTTAATAAAATAAAAGGTTATTCTTGTAGAATATAATGCTTATGGTTCCATCTGCTAAACAAAAGCAAGTAAACTGGGTGGGAAAAACATAATTGTGGGCCCTGCCACAATGCAAACACTTAAAAAGCTCCAGATATCTTGGAAGACAAGTTCTTGTCTCAATTATTAGATTGAATCCAGCCCCAACAATTTTCATTTTTTATATATGAACAAATCAAATCCCAAGTCATTTAGTAAGTCCTGCACAAGGAGTCATATCAGTTCATGCTTTTGAGAAATTTGCATTACATGAATCCCAATTTTCTATTCCAACTTTTGGGAAATGTTCCATGTGTCTAAGATGTCATAAGTTTTACCTATTCTTGTGCAAGAGTGCCAGGATCGGATTCTAAAACCATTAGTGGTACCTCTGAAGGTTCTACAATGACCAAGACACATGCGTTGCCATTAAATATCAACCTCCTCCTTCAGCCTTTTCCTTCATGTCTTATTCTCCAGAGCCCTGGACTGAACTTTTCAAGTTAAAGGGATCTTTCAATCTGTCATGTGCCATTGTACGATAGGAAATAATAAGCCTGGCACTTTGCTATCCAAATCAAGTGTTCCAAACCCAAAACCAATTCCAATATAACCTAATGAACTGTGATGTATTGGGCCAATAGACGGGCCAAAAGATGAGAGCAACAGCTAAAAACCTAGCCATGTAAGAAGTTAAAGCAAATCAATTTCAACAGAACAGTGTAAGAGAGTAATTATAGCCTTCAAGAACATACTGACTATCTATGTCATTTCACACAAAGTTTCAATAAAACTGATTCTTCTCGCAGAAATCAGTTTAACTCATTAAATTCTCTTTACAGATAAAACAAATTGTGTCAACATCATTTAATTTAATTTTTTTTTTTTCACATTCGTTTAAAGCAAAGTGCTTTGAAGTGCCACAGGAACAACTTATGTTGTTTCAAGACACAAAGAAATTGATTAAATAACTTAGAAAATCTCAAAGACAATTGAAGTAGAATAATCACAATCTAATAGTAAACGAGCAAACCCTTTCATCATAAATTCATACTCACGTAAACAAAACAGTCAAACAATCATGACAAGGCATTGTCGTCTACCATAAATTTGGATTATGGATGATCTCATACTTGGGGCCACATGGTAATAACCATATCCTGTGTCTAAGTTTGTGGTAAAAAAAACAGATATTGTCCTGAGTTGAACCTCAGTTAAGACATGCGGTCATAGTTCATTTACACTTCAATGTTTATAGCGGATCTGCGTGGAAAAAAGTTGTGATCTAGTGAAGTTTCAAGAAACAATGGTCATTTACGCATGAATTTTGCATCCATTATGCCATTAAGAAAGGTTTGCCAAAGATAGTAACACCCTTTTCTTCTACCGTTCCACATAATTCCTGTCTCATAATTACCAACAAAAATTTATAACGAAAGAACCTTAATTTTTGTACCACACAGACCTCACATAGAAAAACAGCTCTCTGACAAAAGTTTAACCTCTTCCTACATCATCATACATAAGTGACTGGTAAGACACTTTTTGCATGAACTAATGAAATATAGGCATAACATATTGGCACATGTAAAAGGTCACATTATGATTGTTAACTTTAACCTATTAAACTAATACAACCTCCTTGTCCTACTAATTGGTCCTGTTTTCAAAGCATTGCCCAAAAACATCATATCTTAATTAAACCCAAAAAAAAACCATACACATGAATTCAAAATATTGTTGAAAAAAAAAAACATAAATCAAACATAACAAGTCAGTCATAAAAAATGAAACTTTTTTCCACATAAAACCCTAAAAAACCAGACAAATAGCAAAAATGTATGAAAAAATTAAATGGTTTTAAGACATACCACCGACTTCTTAAACGGTTGAATGAGACATTGCCCCCTCTTTCCCCCTCCTATCGTGATCAAGTCAAAACCGTCAAATGTTAGATCCAGAAGCAAAAAACGATAACCCCGAAACGTTTTGATTCAACACTGTATTGACGAAAAGAGATGAGTCGAATGATTGAAAGATTTTGCGTTTCGTTTTATGGAGATTAGAGATATGTTTAGCGAATCGGGGACAGGGAGAAAGAAGAGGAGAGAGACGCTACAGACAAATGCGAGCAACGAATGGGCCGTAATTGGGCAATAATTAGAGTGTTGGGCCAATGGATTGCCAGGCTTGTGGTTTAACTTACACAGAGCTTCTCTTGCAGTGTTCACAAGCAAAAATTGAGCGACAAAAACATGGAAGCCAAGACCACATATATAGGGAATGCAAGGGTAAGGGCGGGGGTGGGGGTGGGGGTGACCATCGTGTTGTGTCAATTATGTTCACATCGTATTATCCTTGTGTTCTATTGAATTAATAATATCATATTTGAGCCATTTTATTTTGAACTATATTATTTAGATTGACACGCATAACTCTAAAAAAATAAAAAAAATTTATATATATATATGTCCCAATAAAATAAAAATCTACTTGTTGCATGTCTTAACTAAATCAAACAAAAAATAAAATGAATTAAGTGTATTCTATCAAAATCGAGTTATTAGTTTCTAACATTAACATGATTTGTCTGTTACACTTATTAGTAAATTGTGTAATTTTTGAGATAGGTTCTAGGTTCGGTCTAAAATTGTACCTTTTTATGTGAGGTTGAGTAGATAATTTGTATGAATCCAAATGCATCGATAGGGATGGGGCGAGTCGGGAGACCACATTATATAAATGTCGCCACATAAGTTGGTGTCCTCTCTCTATTGAGAGTTAAAAGGACCCTAAGGCTCCATCTAGGCTCTAGCAATTTAGGGATGGCTAGAGGTAAAAGTATGTGTGTCTTGAGTTGGGTTGACCCCGACCTGACCCTGTCCCCGTCCCCGTCCCCTTCATAAGATAGCTAGGTTTGCAACCACTATATAACAAATATTTGAGCCATTTCTCACTAAAGTTGATACATCTATAACACGAGACAAGCTACTCCAACTCAACTTGTTGGAGCCCGCTTGAGATCGACTATTTCATAATTTATGCATTCATGATTATGTCAAAATATATTCAACCCATATTTGATTTATTTATAATCACGTACAATCAAGTTTGTAGCATCTTAGATTCATATATTTAGTCGGATTCATGTAAATCAGATTATTAGAAAAGTCTGGTGAATTCACCGGTTTATTACTTAAATCCACTGATTCTCACTCAAATTTGAGTCGATCTCACGTGTCGAGTTTATGATCGTGTATACAATTGACAGCTCTAAAAAAGAAATCAGTATAGAACAAGAGGATGCTAGTTTCCTTCTTGTTTAAGTCTCTTGCTAGTTGTGAATTTGGGTTCATAAGACATTTTAGTACATGAATGCATAAATCTTTACTTCTAAAGCTTTCATTGTGTGTGTTTTAAGTTTTCACTCATTTCCATGGAGTTGTCACAATAGGTTCAGATCGCCAGTAGAATACTGCCATGCTTTTAATGGAGGGGCAGCACATCATTAAGTTGTGCGGTGGTTCACCAATATTTATCATTGCCCAGTGCCTTATCCAACTAACAGGACTGAATGACAATACCAACTTTCAAGCCAATTCATTGTTTCCCCTATTGGCCCCATGGGGCCACGAAAAGGAAAGGAGGGGGAGGGGGAGGGGGTGGTAAACCAATGGTTGAGCTAACTTGTCCATTTCTGGTTGAATATCCACCTTGTCAGTTTACATATAACTTGTCCAACTCTCTTGCTACAAGGCAGACCAAATCAAGTTACCATACCTGAGCAGCTCTAAACCTCTAATGCTCCTGGTGTTTTGCTTTTGAATAATGTTATATTTATCAAGTTTTTTATTATAAGTGATGTGTTATAATTTTCATTATTGAATATTAATAGAACCCATTTATTTGATGGTAAAAACTGTGTCACATTACTTAGAATGAAAAGTTTGGTCCGCATAACAACATTGTTTGCTTTTATACATCCAAAATTATTTCATGCAACTATAATTGTTCTCTATTTCTTTTTAGAGATTTGTATTCACAGAGCNCATTATAAATGATGTGTTATAATTTTCATCATTGAATATTAATAGAACCCATTTATTTGATGGTAAAAACTGTGTCACATTACTTAGAATGAAAAGTTTGGTCCGCATAACAACATTATTTGCTTTTATACATCCAAAATTATTTCATGCAACTATAATTGTTCTCTATTTCTTTTTAGAGATTTGTATTCACAGAGCTGACCCATTTGAGCATTGGTAGTTTTAAGTTGGATTCGAGTCAATTACTACAACTTCACATTCGATCGAACTTGAATTCTCGCCTAAACTCGACTCAATTTTACAATCGTGTATTCACGTTCGACACTAATATGTTTGACTTAGTTTACCAAAAGTGTTATAAATATCATAATTCAATTGAGCTGGATTCTATGAAGTAAAGCCACCCACTGCTCGGGTTCGATTTAATTACTTGGCGAAGTTAAAATTCGNATTTGCTTTTATACATCCAAAATTATTTCATGCAACTATTATTGTTCTCTATTTCTTTTTAGAGATTTGTATTCACAGAGCCGACCCATTTGAGCATTGGTAGTTTTAGGTTGGATTCGAGTCAATTACTACAACTTCACATTCGATCGAACTTCAATTCTCACCTAAACTCGACTCAATTTTACAATCGTGTATTCACGTTCGACACTAATATGTTTGACTTAGTTTACTAAAAGTGTTATATATATCATAATTCAATTGTGCTGGATTCTATCAAGTAAAGCCACCCACTGCTCGGGTTCGATTTAATTACTTGGCGAAGTTAAAATTCGATCATGCCCAAATTGAACTCAGTGCCTCGATTCCTTTAACAACGCTCGATTAGGGTCTTTCCGGGAGACAAAGTTTGGACCTGTGTCTGAGAGATAGAGTAGAGGTTGATTGACTTCTGGGTTTCATTGTTATGGGCTTAGGTAGTTGTTCCAGAGACTTTACATAAGGTCCAAGTTTAAAAAGGTACGAGCCCAATTAATACAAGCCCAGATCAGTATCCATAGCCCGTAGGTGATAAATTTCTTGGATTCTGACATACAATTGAGAAAAATTAAACACGAATTTCAACAGAAAAAAAACAAAAAAAAGAAAGCGAATTATATATTTGAACATGGTTGGATGGCACTCAAGTTTAAGGATTCGGGTTTAACTTATATTCGAAGTTCTACTACTTTTAGNCTGGGTTTCATTGTTATGGGCTTAGGTAGTTGTTCCAGAGACTTTACATAAGGTACGAGCCCAATTAATACAAGCCCAGATCAGTATCCATAGCCGTAGGTGATAAATTTCTTTGATTCTGACATACAATTGAGAAAAATTAAACACGAATTTCAACAGAAAAAAAAAGAAAGCGAATTATATATTTGAACATGGTTGGATGGCACTCAAGTTTAAGGATTCGGGTTTAACTTATATTCGAAGTTCTACTACTTTTAGACTCAATTCAAATAAATCTCTAAATTTGTTCTAAATCATCTGAATTGCACCCATACTCTAAATTGATCTATTTAATAGCAAGTCCACCACTCAAAATTGATCCTTTTTTTTTTTTTTATATTGCAGTGAAAAATGTTCGGGTTAATTTATACACACCCCGATTAATTATTTTCTAAATATGATCAAGAATAAGTCATTCAGGCCAAAATTAAAAAATTTATGAAGAATAAACAAAAAAAATCAATCTATTTTATAAAAAACCTCGTTTGCATATATTTTTGAATTCATAAAATCTTCATTTTGGACTTTGAATTTGACTTCACAAGTTCAACTTTTCAAATTCTTGTTCGTGATGGACAATTAAAGTGGTCTTAGCATTTTATTGTNGAAAATTTATGAAGAATAAACAAAAAAAATCAATCTATTTTATAAAAAGCCTCGTTTGCATATATTTTTGAATTCATAAAATCTTCATTTTGGACTTTGAATTTGACTTCACAAGTTCAACTTTTCAAATTCTTGTTCGTGATGGACAATTAAAGTGGTCTTAGCATTTTATTGTCATTTAGAAAAATGAAAAGACTTTTTCGTTTCTTACCTTGGGAAAATAACATATCAACTATGAAAACTTCCAGCCAA